TCCCCTCTACACGCTTGCCCTTTTCCTATCAAGAGTGCTCTGTTATGCTGATAGCCACACGGTCATGACAAAGGAGCACCAGGTGCACGGTGATAACTCAAGGAGCGCACACGAGATGAATGATTACTGTTGTGTGACAAAAAGACGCCACAAATCCATTTTTTTCCTTAACGTAGCCAGAACTCTTGGCAGCGAGGTCACCATTCTGCTGCTTTTTGACCACCTTTGCTGCTTCTGAAGGCAGTGAACTGACGGCGAAACATCGAGATCGCAGCAACAAAGTACAGGGGGATTGATTGCAGGAGACGCTGCCATGCTAGTGTGATGTGCGCGTGATAGATTCCCAAAGGCACTGCCGAGAACTCGGTGTAATTTTGCATTAACTCCCTCACATTTCCGTCACCTTACATGCCACCCTGTTAGCAACAGAGAAATATATGGGGTGATGCAATAGTAACGTTACAGAAAGTGCATGGTTGTTTTCTTTCTTAATCACTGTGTGAAAAAACGATTCGGCTCATTTGCATGATCACGCGCTGCCGCCAAACCATTTACGAACTATGAACGTGCTGACGTTGCTGACCCAGTGGCACAGGTGACTGATGGCTCTTCAAGCTTTCCTCAACAGGAGCTGACAGGAGCTGTCAGCTCTTGTTTATCAGCTCATGTTTTTCCTGTTGTCAGCTCTTGTTTTTCCAAACACCGATAAACCTGGACATTCGGAAAAACAGCAGCCATGACAGACAAGGCACGCACTTCAGGCTCATCCCCAATCAACGCCTTGGACTGCCCAAGAACTCCAGGGTCTGTTTGAGCCAAATCGAGACCGCTTCCAGCTTTGCCGCATCACATCCACAAATACTTTTACGTCGTAGCAGCACTGCCACCCGACATCGCTGACGCTAAATTTAGATGATGCGCTCGCCTCGACTCCGTCTGAAAAGGCTTACGACGAACTAAAGAGCACCATCCTCAAACGTCTTGAGGTATCTAAACAGAGCAGGATGCAACAACTCCTGTCTCATAAAAAGCTTGGTGAGCAGCGTCCCTCGCAACTACTTCACCAAATGCGCCAGCTGCTCGGCCAACAAGCGTCAGAGGAGCAGCAACAACCATAGCTTCGAGAGTTGTTTATGCAGAGGCTACCACAGTCAACATGGATCATACTCGTAGGCTCGGACGACGTTACCATCGAGCGCCTTGCTCAACTCGCCAACTGCATTACCAACAGCACTGAGCCATCAAAAGTGTCTATTGCAGCAGCGGGAATGTCCGAACATGCGGAGCGGTTACGTCGCTTAGAGGACAGAGTTAACCGACTGGCTGCAGCAGTCGAAAACGTCGCCCTGTCTTACAAACACTGTCTTGTATGGCAGCGTTCGTCGTCACGTGCTCAAAGTTCACAGCATCGTGACTGCTCAAGTGAGACAGAGCAGGACATACTAGTACCGCTGTCATTTCAGCGAGCAAGCCACTCGCTGCACCCAATCATGTTTATGGACGGGAAACGCACCGGCCAGTCGCTAATGGCGGAATGCGATACAGGCCATCGCTGAAGCCACTTCTCCATATGCAGCACGGCCCAGATATATGACACTAACTAAAAGCATGTAGTTTTTTTTTTTTCATTTGGTTTGGAGTGGGGCGGTAGAGGGCACACTTGTGCCTGTGCCTGCAGCAGCAAGAACGACAACAACGCTAGCTTGCGGGGTGCAAACTGCCTCGCGCTCATCGGCGCCTAATAACGAGCCCTCGCTCTCGCCTAGTGTGCCCTGTGCGCCGCCGCCGCTTCGCGCTTTGGGGACGGTGGGGCAGGCACAGAAGATGCATGCTCGTGCTAAAATGCCAAAATGAGGAGCAAAATTTCTAGATTGTCCATGGGGAAAATTCGTTATATCAAGGTTGTCTCTCGCTATTACTTTGTTACAAAGAGGTCGCAAATACATGTGCTTTTAAGGAGCAACGGCTGGGATTAGAAAAACCTTGTTATATTGAGGAGTTCGTTATATAGAGGTTCATTATAAGCAGGTTCAACTGTAGTATGCATCTACTTGTTTGTTTTAATAATTCCAAATTTAAATTTAAATTCAATTAGAAGTGAATTCAAATACTACATTATTCGTTCAAATATTCACAAAAGCTTGGTGCATAGTCATGCCACATTGCCAACAGGTATAAATTAACAAGGTTCTAATGTGTTACGAGACATCGGTTCACAGTTACATTCATGCCACCAGTTTTTCACAGAAATCACGGTGATAACAGCGCTGAGACAAGTATCACCATTGAACAGAAATACGTGACAGAACTGCACCAAATATGGGTGTGGCCATGTCCTCTGAGTAGCCAATGCTCAGTGTTGATCAATAAATAATACTGCGCGGTAGAAAACAAAGACGACAGGCAGGCGAAACTTGTCGTCCTTGTTTCCTACCATGCATCGATTGTGAATCACCAACTGGCTCAATTGTCCACTTTGCTCAGCGTAGCTCGGTAGACGATAAGACTTGGCTAGATTGGGTGGTTTACAATCCTAATGGGCAATACAGTTCAAAGAGCTGTTCAAGCACATCTTCTTATAGCACTTTCATCCGTGTGCAGCATACACCATACATCAGCCAAATGCTCTCCCACTCGTAACAAAGGTGTGGACAGCATCGAAGGGTGCCCTTTGATGTAGCCCACACAGCGTATGATTGGAAAAATGCATTTACAGAAACTCTAGACACCACAGCAAGTTTCATTTTGTTCGAGTGAAATTACAACAGATTTTTACCAAATTATCCTGGTTTTCTCAGCATGATTGCATACTATTCGTAATTACGAAGTATTCCTGGTTTTCTCAGTTTCTAGGCGCCCTGCAATTGCTTTTGGTGCCCATTTAACTCATTCTTCTGTGTGGTATTCTGTTTATAGCACAAATGTAATATTTTATATTGTTTCAGCAATTCCCAATTTATCGCGCTCTGGGCTAATCCTGTAGAAACTATTTCAATCAATCATTCTTTATTTTCATTAAAAGGAGTACAGGACTGAAAGCTCTAGAGCTTGATGAGGTCCCGACCCCGTTCACAAGTCAGCAAAGCACCAGGAATCGCAGGCAATCAAGCATAAAGAATAGACTTCTAACGGGGTACGTCACAGTGTGATGTCACCGGTGCACGTGCAACGTGATGGTTGGCAAAACACTCCCGCCGGTGGCTGAGTGGGGTGCAGTCGCTCGGTGTTTAGGGCATTTTTTTTTTTTTGAAAGCTTAATCTTCATTTCACAGTGGCAACATTAGCTGTGGCATGTGTCAGAGAACATCTAGGTGTGTGATAAAGTGCGTGATGAAATATTCGCCAGGCTGGCTGGCTGTTTATCTCGGAGAAGTGAACACGCGAGGTGGCCTGTGCGAGAAATAGCGGCATGGTCTTCGAAAATGTGCAGTGTTGACTGTGACTGTGGCATATAGTGTGCGTTGAAAGGCATCGACAATATTGGTTCATCTTTACGAACAGTGAAACTGGGAATGTCTGCAGTGTGAATAATGCGATGCATCCTGTTTGCCACTACACTGGCATTCGTTGCGGGCCGGTTTCAGTAACTGATTGTCAACGGAACTTTATGATCTGACTTTGAAGTCAAGGTAAAAATACATTCGGCGTGATCACCTGTGAGTGGGTACATCTCAGCGTATGCGCGGCGTGCAGAAAAATAAAATGCATGATATCCTGGTGATATATACTACCATGCATGAGCTATAAGCATGTTGTAGCGTTGCCGAATCTGCATATATGCTTCACCACGGCTATAACTTGTAATATCGGATACCTGATACGTGTTAATGGGAACAGCGGAGATTTTGGTTTCTTATCTACTTTGTACTTTTACGGCTCGATCCTTATGAAGTGAAAATGCGCGTTAGAAGTTTGTGTATAAGGCCTAAAGGAGCGACAGGTACGCAAAATGTTATAGGTGTCAAATGCAGCAAGGTAACTGTGCCAGATAATATTATATATTATTAAGATGTCAGGTTTTACATCACATGAATTTTCACTGGGTGTTTGAGAAACGCAGCGGTAGAACTTCACTTTGATTTTCACGAGGATATGTTAACCTCAGCCTAACCCACGGCAACAGGTGTGTTTTTTTTTTCATTCATCTCCGATGAGACTTTTGGGCAATGAATGAGAATCTCATTCGTGACTTCGCGCACAGCAGCTCAAAACCATGCTGCCGCCAGTGCTTTACCTCGTTTAAAACTGCATTGCACATGCCACGATGGAAATTGAGCAATTTTACATCCATGCCATGCAAATATTTCTCAAAGTGCCAGTAATCGTCTACATTCAAAACGTTTGCTTTCGAAAAAGCTTTGATTTTTTTTTTATGGCTGCCATCTACGTGGTGAAGCCCACTGCATGCTAGTTGCATCTCTCAGTACTCTAAACGAAGTTTCTTCATCCAACTACGACGAGCGAATTCCCACACTATGAGCAGTTACCCTTCCGCAACCCCCTTCTTTCAAAAGCCGTGACTTTAGAACATAGCAATTTAGAAATTTCTGTCGAAAGAATGCAGACACGCAGCTCTGCTATGCATAAAGATGCCGCCGGAGAAACGTTCTTGCCAACCAGCACCTGCTCCGAGAGAGGGTGTAGGGGGCAGAGTGCCCGCAGTGACGCCACACTGTTTACAAACAGGGAGAGGTCTATACCAGATAAACTTATACGTATAGCATCGCAAAAAGTATTTCAAAATTTATGAAACAAAGCATTGAAAATAGAATAGAAAAAGAATAGTTGAAATGTATAGTCATGAAGTGCCATGAACATGAAAAAGCAACAATCGATAGGAAAGAATGGCCAAACATTCTGAGAGATGTATTATTCAGGATAATAAATCAACTAGGCGAAGCGTCTATTGTGACAGTTTTGTTTAGACAAATGATCAAAATCTTCAGCAAAAGGATGTCTAACGTGAGTCTTTCATAATGGATGAGAGAACGAGGACCTACTGTATCACAAAGAGCAGGAAATCGGCGATGTCCTCGATGTACCACTCGGGGTAGGCTGCAAACAGCTTAGGCAATGAAGATTCATCTGCTGGCTGAGCACTGCATGAAACACAAGCATACCACTATCACACCTTTCCAGAACCCAGTTTTCATATCTCATTCGCTAAGCAACTCCAATTCTGCCAAATATACCCGATTAAATTGCTGAAATGCTTTACTAGCAATAAAAAAAAAAAAGAAATCCCCCACAAAGCTTTAGAACTACAACTTGGAGCCAAAACATGAAACAAACTCGCAACACACAGGAACGAAGAAAGGAGACACACGGACAAAGACCTGCGCCTGTCCGTGTGTCTCCTTTTCTCGTACTCGTGTGTTGCGCGCTAACTACTTAAATGTATTTGTTCTAACCAGGCCAGCCAGCAGTTTTGCTTGAGCCAAAAACCAGATATTTTAGTAACCGAGGTGAAAGACGAAGTATACATGTAGCTCAACTTTTTCTCTTGCTTTTATACTTTCAAGAGAAAGAGAAAAAAAACTGTTTGTCTAGATTTGAATGCATATGGTACATTGTCAATTTATGACCATACAGTGAGTGTACACAGATGAAATCAAAGACAAAACATCAGTTGCTATTCCACTTCACCCTTGCCTTGTACGCAATTGTGTACATTACATATTTGGTTTTTTTTCCAGGTTTAAGAGGCTTAAAAATTATTTTCATTCGTAAAACAAAAAAAAAGTAGTGATAAAATTTGCCATATACAAAGTATTTATTCGCTAGTGATATAGGTATAAAGGTGATTTTTAATTGGACAACCACATGGTGCGAATTGCGTCTCAATATGGGGGAAAATGACGATTTTGTCAAATCCACGATTTTTTCTTGTAAAGTTTAGCAGCTTGAGACGCCTACAAATATGTTTCCGTCGAAATATACCTTGCGTGGAGTAAGTATTCACTACTCTAATATTCATACAAAGTGCAGTTAGAAAAATTGCAAACATAACACATTTTGGCTAAATTCTTGGAGACATATGTGCCAGTAAATTTGCACTAATATTACTGAGTTTCAAACACTTTACACAAGAGCCTTTACTTAACATGCAGACTAAATTTGGTATGTAAAAAAGGAGCAATGCTTTCAAAATAAATTTTTCTGCAAACAACACTCAAACGACATTCCAGGAAGTTCAGAAGGCAGCCACGTGACCAAAAAATTTTTTCTCTCCAAAATATTCAAGAAGGTCACTGTTTTCAATGCAGTAAATCAGCATCATTTTTGACGACGATAGTCTTTCTTGGAGACTTTCAACACAAAAATTTTGGTCTGTTTGTCTGTCTGTACATTTGTCTGTTTGTCCACCCTTAACGATACCAGGTACTTTGAACGGCACCAGCCGATACTCCAAACGGCTGACCCCATCCGCAGCTCCCACCAATGTTGCTCAAGATTCAGCGTTTGTACTTGTGCGATTGTCAAGTAAAAAGCAATTATCGTGCATATGGGAGGCACGATAATAACACATATATATTCTGTATGTGTGTATTTTACTAGGAAGGGCATATATAAGCATTTCTAAAAACCGTAGCGTTTATCAGGCTGCGCTGACCATGCAACGCTTGCACGAAAAGGCGAGTGTTTTCAACGCTTTGGTAAGACGACACTGTGGTGGCACCTACCCGTCGCCTTGCGTTTTACACCTTATCACCTCAGAGACAGGTGCGCACGTGCGGCGCGTGCCCTGTTTTCCAGGATAACTGCCAGATAGTGCTCATGTCTCACGTGTGACGTAACTTGATGCACTCGTTCGCCTCTGCTGCACGCTCGAGGCACTGTAACGCAGCGCCTCCAGAATATCATTCACTGATTTCTTGCCCAGAACATCAAATAAATGTTTTGTTCACTTTCTGCACATGCAAGACTATCGTCTTTCGATGACATTTGCAGATTAACATGCAGATACGTGGCCAAGTTTTTTCAAGTACATTTGAGATGATTGCCAAAATGGCTGGGACGTTTGGCATGAAATGACCCACCTTTGAACTGACTGAAGAAATTACAAGTCAACGAGTTCTGTTGAGAAGCTTGATTTTCTACTTAGTTTGTACCACATGAAAATTCATTAGAAGAAGTGAACACTGTGGGGTCTCAAAATGGCGAGCAAGCGCCATGCTCTAGGAGTGAAAGGACACAGTTGATGCAGTCTGTACAAACCAAAGAACGACACGCATTTATTGGCCTAATTTACAACGGCAATATCGTCCGCCGAATCCATACATCAATCGTAATTGACACACTAGGACATCCGTACGCACTATTACCATACACTCCATGACAAACACAATAACATGACAAACACAATAATACACCCAACGCGGCGGCGCCAACGCTCGCAGCAACCGTTGGCGGCAACCGCCACGCGCTGAAGAGGCTTGCTCAACTCTCACCCGCCACCAAGGCTTGCTTCCCCCAAGGGTCACCGCCGGTGCTATCACTCTACCAACCATGATGATGATAGTGGTGCTCAACGCGAACACAACGCACAGCAGTTGTAACTTGAAATGCGTCTTTTGGGTGAGACACGTGCTCCACGCAGGGCAAAACTCTCTACAGGGGATGTCGGCACCCCTCAACACTAAGAGTGTTTTTTTTACTTGGTCGACATGTCTATCTATGTATTTTTAGTTTGAATACCTCCATGACCATCAAATGTTACCGAAAGCAAAACTTCTAGATTAGATCAATTTTCGCAGGCAAGTTGCCAAGACACTAATTAAGACTGCAATGTCCGAAAAACGCGTGCAAGCCCATCTTTTGCAGAGACCCAAGCACCACAACCTACAACTAGAGAAGAAAAAGCAAGAATGTCGCTTCCTTGTGTCAACAAGCGCAATGACTGCTTTGACCATGGGCCTCAAGCCTGTGAGTAAAAAGAAATAAAACCATCGAGGAGCAAGCTCGACACGAAGATTGTGAACAGTCTGCATGAAATGCGCTGTACCACTCTGCCTGATGAAACAGTGAAATCGCTTCCTAGCCTTCCACAAGTAAACTTAGCAACCATTGAGGCGCTGAGCACACAATCATGCATAATCTTGCAAATAATGAAGTTTTACGAGAATTTTCAAAATTTTGGTGGTTTCGGCTTTCTCAGGCATTACATTTATATGAAAAAGATTTTTTCTATTCATAATTACAAGTGGCCGCAGACAGAGTCTAAGTAATACTTAACACTGCAATTCAGCTCTGAAGACATGACTGTTTCAACGGTGCTTCTATCACATATTTTAAAACACATGAATGTATTTTTTGGAGGATCGCGAGCGAGTGGCAGCTGGGTAATCACCAGCCAGAGGCACATTGCCTCCAATCTCCCGTGCTGCCATTGGCTGTGGCTATACAATGCAGTGAGACCTGGACATGTTTCAGCAGCCAGAAGCATGGCTGGTACACCAGTTTGTCTAAAATGTCACTTCTTTAAGCTACAGCACGAATGCTGATTGATTGACTGATATGTGGGGTTTAACGTCCGAAAACCACCATATCATTATGATAAACGAGCATAGTGGAGGGCTAAGGAAATTTCAACAACCAGGGGTTCTTTAACATGCACCCAAACCTGATCACATGAGCCTACAGTATTTTTACCTCCATCAAAAATGAAGTCGCCACAGGCAGGATTAGATCCCGCGCCCTGCGAGTCAGCAGCTCGGTACCTTAGCTACTAGAACACTGCGACAGGGCGACAACACGGATGCTAGCTGTAGCATTCTGCAAAAAAAGATATCAAAGTTGTTGCCAATAATTGCGTACGGGCAGCAACATGAAAGAACAGCATAGAGGAGAATAAGAAAGAAGTTCGGCACGAGCAGTCAAATAAACATAAAGTGCTTGGACTGCGACTCTGGTCGTCATTACCAAGATTCTTTCTGGTGCCGAAATCCCCCGATCATGCCCTTCCAAGACTTCTACTTCCGATGGCGTCGTTGGAGCGGCTGCGCAAGAACCGTGGAGTCATCAGGGCCAGTGTCATGCGAACTATCATGCTCCTGACAGACGAACTGCAGGCCACGTTCCCAATGCCAGTCAGATCGACTCCCACATTGCTTACCTCACTATGAATAATGCCGAACTGATCACCCTAAACAAAGAAATCTTCAATGTCACAGACGATGCCTACAAGGAAAAGCTTGAGGCCGCAGGAAAGTTCGACCGAAGGGTCTCTTACACAGTGTTCCGAGCGGGGTTCTTTTTTCGAGAGGCTGCAAACACGACGACAGAAACGAGTGCTGTGAGATCGGCGGTTACAGCACTGAACAGCAACGCCGGTGGTGCCAGCACCTCAGCCCAGAGCAAGGTCAGTGACTCTTCCCAAGTAGCCAATGCCATACCCAGTCAAGGAACGATGTCGCGTTATCACACAGTGGTCCCGCTGAAACACTAGATTACGACGCTTTCGCACGCACTTCGTGATCGGCAGTCCTTCTGGGATCACTTCAGTGCAACAGTACACCTAAACGACTAACTTCTGCAGATTGAGGAGTTCAAGTACCTGCAGTCGTACTTCAGCGGCTCAAGTGTGCCATCAAAGGCATTCGACTGACATAAGATAATTACCACATCGCTATCAAGTCTCCAAAGCGATTAGGTCGACGCGATTTGCTCATAAACGAGCACGTTGACCATCTCCTCACCTTGGCACCGATCAAGTCGTCAGCCGATGTTGAGAACCTTCGGCTGCGATACGACAACGTCGAGTTTTGAGTCTCTACATTGGCTGGCTTGGGCGTCTCACCTGACCAGTACGACATTGTCCTCAACCACGTGCCTGCCTGACGACACCATGATACTCTATCACTAGAAAGTAAAAGAAGCGCCGCAGGATACGTCTGCCACTGCGATTCCTATAAAAAGAGCTCGTCAGGCTGCAGAAATGCCAAGCTTCCTGCGCATGCAGATTGAGGTTTTAGAGGAAAACAGGCCAGAGTTAACGGCGCCTAGTTTCTCGCAATTGCTGCCCGAAGAAGATGACCTCCGTCAGCACTGATGGGGACAACAGCTCATACTTTTCTCTCAAAATTCATCATTTTCTGCT